ACACAGAATAGATAAAAAAGCAATATACGATAGACTTACTGGGTGCATGAAACTATCTTTTCATAGAAGGTTTGAAACTTGACGAACGAATACTTTAGGAGAAAAATAACTTCATGTACAATTTCGTTAGCAACGTGATCGAAAAAATAGACGGTTTTAAAATTAAATTATCCTTAAAAAAATAGAACTGTTTTTTTTTTATTTGTCAATGGTTAGAAACAACATTGAAAGACCTCTCGATCGCTGCGAAGATAAAATTTTTCTATGCTTTCAGTTTATGCAAAAACGAGTATGTTTTCTCACCATAGAAATATGTTGAATTTCATGATGTAACGGTACATTTAGAATATAAGATCGTCCTACTGCCTGGAACGCCGCAAACGAAAAATGAACATCTGTTTCATAAACTAGAGACTATAGGCTAATATTCTATGGTACTTTTGCAAGTCTGCTTTGAGTTTCAAATTTATGAAAAATGTCCTATTCTGCCTGATTTGGCCGATATATTCTTGTCTTATGAAATAAGTATTATCTATTTGCATATAAATATGAATGTTTTTTTCATCTAACAAAAGAATCAAAAAATATAAAATCATATATTCAGATATATTATTCAAAAGAGAACATATATTTTGACTAGTAAAACAAATATATAGAAAAGCATGACTTCGTCGTGACCATGTCATTTAATTTGATCTATATTCAATAAAACAATCTTTATTCTCGATCAACAACGATAGGATCACTTTTATAGATAACATAAAAGTAGATTTACAATGATGGAAAATCCTTCAAGAACACGCTATCTTAATAAATTCTTGAACTAATCATCAATATTTTTTCGATACTCTATTATAGTTTCATGTTGTTCTAGACAAATAGAAAAATAGTACAAAAAAACTAGAACATAATCACATAAAGAAAACAACGAGAACAACCGCAACATACATGCACACAATACATTTACATAGAAGAACAAACATATAACATATTTAGCACATAGATATAAATTGTAAAGCTCAAATAAACATGAACCAAGTGTATTCGATGCTTCAGATGATTCATAGAGCTAAATTTGCAATAAGTGGTTCATATTAACAAAGATTTCTAAATTAAATAGAAAATAATTTATTGATCTTTTTTATCGATTTCACTTACTGTTTTCCAATCTATGAATATCGAGCAATATTACGTAAAATAAGTGCAGCTGTAAATCGAATACTTTTTGTCAATGGACCTTCTTTACTTTTCATCTATTATATATCATTAATTTAATTAAGAAATTTAAAATAAAATAAAACATACCAATAAATCATCAAAAGAATTCATTTGCATATGACGTCGAGTAACAAGTCAAGCAGCATCAGGTGCATATCCAATTACTCCTGTTGTCGATGGAGCATTACTTGCAGAAGTCGTCGATTAGATTGTACTTGTATGCGCCGTTGTTGGAGGAATAGGATTAGTTGATTTTAGTTTAGCTTATCGAAAAGCAATTTTTGAACAATGAGGTTCCTAAACAAATAATAAAATTGAATCAAGGGTGTCAGTGTGGGCTTTCTTTGGATCAACCAACCCACCCACAACCACAGCCACAGCCACAGCCACAACCACAGCCACAGACACAGCCACGCCCACGCCCACACCCACCAACAGCCACAGACACAGCCACGCCCACACCGATACTCACACCCACACCGATACTCACACCCACACCGATACTCACACCCACACCGATACTCACACCCACACCCCTTACCTCACACCCACACCCCTTACCTCACACCCACACCCCTTACCCCACACCCACTCCCACACCCCCACCCCCACCCACACCCTCTGGACGCGGTTGCAATAAAATCGAGTCTAGACGCAGTAAAAATCGATTTTAGCCGCGTCTGAATGCAGTTTACAATAAAATCGCGGTAGAACGCATATATCCTGCGTCTGATGTTTACATGGGTGGCTCCATCATAGTGAGTGTCAAAATGAGATGTCAATCATAACTTATCAAGAGAATGGCTCTGTTGATTTTTTCCACGCTTCACATACGATTACGGAGATATACCATCGGGCGTATATGGATTCTATATTCATCGACCTAGAAGATCAATTAAAATTAATTGGTAAACTTTAATAAAATCAAAAAGAACTTTATTATCTCTTATATAATGTTGTTCAGCTAAGAAAATAAACATATTTCACATATGTAGTCTAAGATCAGTTTTATTTTGCAAAGAAATATCAATTAAAATTTAAGACAAATTTGTCCCACCATTTACTAAAATACTCTGTCCAGTAATATAGTCGGAATTTTTGCTTGCAAGAAATGAAACCAAATTTGCGATATCATCTGGATATCCTACACGACCAAGTGGAACAGTTTTTAGAAGATCTTCCATAAGATGTTCCTTTGACTTTCCTTGAAATTCTGCCAATTCTTCATTAAACCTATCAAACAACGATGTCTTGGTGATTCCTGTGAAAATTTCTCAAATTTAATATTTAAAAAACAATAAAACATACCTGGACAATAAGCATTGACTGTAATATTATATGGAGCCCATTCCAAAGCAGCCGCTTGTGTTAAACCCCGTACACCCCATTTTGTAGCAGAATAATGACTGATCATTGGATGTGGTTTATATCCAGCATTACTACAAGCACCAATGATTTTTCCTCCTCTACCTTGTGTAATCATGATTTTAGCTGCTTCTTTGTAGCAAAGAAATACACCACGCATATTTGCAAAAATTTTATCCCAATCGTCTACACTTGTATCTAACAGTGGTTTCACATAACAAATTCCTGCATTTGCCACTACTACCTGTAGAATTAGTCGTAGGAGAAAAAACTTCAAAAAGTCGAGCAGAATGAAAAATGCATACATCTAGACTTCCTAATTTTTGTGCACTTTCTTGCATCATTTTTTCGACTGATTTACTCTGAGAAACATCAGCAGTTACAGCGATCGATTATCGACCCATTTGTTCGATTTCTTGTTGAACGTTTTGAAGGTCAGAAGAACTAGCTTGTATATCATTAACAACAACATTGAGACCATCTCTAGCAAGACGAAGTGCAATAGCACGTCCTATTCCTCGAGCAGCACCAGTTACCAAACCAGTACGAATCATTTTCAATAATAATCAATAAAAATAAAAACAATAGCTATTTGAGTAAATCTCTTTTTAGTTCTTGTAGAATGTTTCTTTTTTTTTCTTTTTCTATTCTGTCTTTGTTACATATTGATATTGCGTCGACAGGTCGATGATAGCTGGTAAGAACGACTTTCTGGTCTTATCTTATTGTGACCCACTTTCATATTGTAATAACAACAGAAAAAAAAAGAAAAAAGAACGAAGATGCATATGTCGTCTAGTACATTTTATTTTTCATCACAATAAAGTCCAGAGGAGACAGCATCGTCTACCGAAATATGGCGAGCAAGAATATGCTACAAAAACAACAAAGAGATTTATTTCAATATTAACAAACGACTGGCTTAAGTTCTATTTTTACTTCACATATATTATTGTTCACATACTCAAGATCTGCTTATATGCAAAACATCAACAACAATAAAAACCAAAATATTCAATCATGCGCTTCTTTCTAACTGTCTTGTCTCATCAAATTTCAGAAATTTCACATGGGCATATTTTTCATTGAAATCGATTGAATTGAGTTAAACTGAGAAATTTTTTATCGACTAGAATTCTTTGTTGGGTATGGGCGTGGTATGTGGATCTCACTCTACTCTGCATCTATATTCATACTAAATCAGCGGTGTCACATATCCAGCAATTTGGAGAAGTGCTCACATTTCTGCCGGGAGATGCTGCATTTTCAGCGGGAGATGCAGCACCCAATGTTAGAGATGTACACCTCTCAATGAGATGATACATCTCCAACAGCAGATCACTGCAGCTCCCGAGTGTGGGTGCCGCGTCTCCCGCGGGAGATGCCGCATCTCCTGTGGGAGAAGTGAGCACTTCTCCAAAATCTTGGATATGTGACACCACTCGTTTTTATGTACTTTATTTTAACCAATTATTGCATTCATTTTTTTTTAATAATAAATTTAAGACAAGGAGTAAAAAAAGTCAAATCAATGATTTACACTTAATTGTGATTGCATTGATGTTGTAATGCAATCTATATTCAAATGTAAAATAAAGCAAGAACAATTGATAATTCGTTCAACTCACGCTATGCTGTAATCTAAACGAAAAATACAAATAAGATCGCAAAAATAATTTACTATTCGTTAAGTTACTCCTTTATTGTAGTCGAAAATAAAAAACAATAATTTAAGGATGTTTGTCTAATAATCACAAAAGCTAAAACTGGATATTATAATACGATCAGATTTTGTCGGATTCAGGAACCTACCACTGCAGCACATAATCGGATTTGAACGGACGACTTCGACTTGTGATGGTATGACTCGAAAACTATAGAGCATTAAAAGTATAACTAAAAAACGAAATATTCAAAAGAAAAAATAAATGCAAAGGAATATTTTTCATGCATTAACATATTTGAATGTGTTCCATTATAATTCACTTATTTTAATTAATCAATCAATCAAAAACATAATAATCTTTTGGATGAATAATTCAATCAACAAACTGTAGTAAATGATTTAACGAAGGTTACATATATAGATTGGCTACACAGTCCTTTTTACCGCAGTAGCGTTGTATGCACGAAATAAATCAAACCTTTTCTTATTGTCATTTATATAGAAGAATAAATATGATGATGGGTATCTGTTGAAAAGCATGACAAAAGAATGTCAGAAAAATAAACTTTGATATTTCTATTATATGCCTTCAAATTTTGCTTAAAAATATAGCTTTTGTGAATGTAAAGTAATTAAAGCACGATTCATTGGATAATTCTCTTAGTCTAACGAGGGAACGTTTTCAACTGATCAATCGCTTTTTTATCGTAAGCTAGTGGATTGTCGTCTAGGCTGATTCTGAATATTTCCAAAGAAGACTCATTTAGATCTTTATATACCGGTGTTCTATGCTAATAAACTTTTCGCCAAAAGAAATCTTGATTAGCTAAGATTATAGAGCAAAAAGTTCGTTAGCCTAAAAAATCAGCTTATAAGATCGTATAAACTCACTGGTCAGCAGTATGCGCATTGGCTAATTAATGAAGTCATTTTCTTGATTTTCAATTTGAAGCAACAAATCAGTGTCGTATGCACCAGAGCTATCCTGGAAATCGTTGATAACTAAGAGGCCACTACTAATTATCTGTTTTATTTCTATGTTGATATTCTACCATACACTTGCTTTTTTTAACGATTCTGTCTTTTTTGTTGACTAAAAAACGACTTTAAACCTGATTTTTGAATTATCAAAATAAATAAATAAATATTTGTTGAAGGTTTCATATTATTATGGAATTTTTTGTTAGTGAAAAAAGATGTTCAATGAGTTTGAGTGAGTTAGGGGAAACTAGGGATTCTTTGATTATCCGCACTCTCATCCTCAGCGACACTCATACCTATCCATGATAGGCAAATAGGATTAGGATAATGTTGTTCCATAATTTAATTGATGAATAGTATATCAGGCGCTACAAAAAGCATATGACTTCTCTTCGATCGTGTAATGTTTTGCATTTCATCAATGTCATGTCGTATCTAGAGAGATGTAAAAGAAATGTAAGCATATATGTTTTTAAATTTTATACTTATGTCAATAATTACACTTATCATAATGACTATTTTAGGATAGCAAAATAATCTTATCCAAGATGTCAAATGTGCAAAGGAGAAAATGTAGAACTTTTTTATAGCACTATTTATTGCTTAATAACAGTAAAAGTTTCTTGATTGCATTCATCCGTTATCACCATCTGAAAACGAGTTCAATATGTATAATGTGTAACAGATCAAAATGGCCGATGATCGATCAATGGCAAAAATATTGGTCGAAAAGAGCTGCCACGATAATAGCTATTCTGCAGTTTCTTTTGATTTGGCCTACTCTTGGACTACAAATTATTAGTTTCATAATTGGCAATGATACTCTTTGCAAAGACGCCAATTTAAGATATATTTTCGGTTTCATTTGCCCGTCCTTCTTCATATCGAATTGGGTTTCAATAATCTATCTAGGTAAGAGCATCATTCTTATTAGACGAGCGCATACACATACGAGAAAATAATTTGTATTTCCAAAGAAGATACCCTAGCATCAGAAATCCTATCTGACGACAGATCTGTACCGTTGCGTACCTTTTCATTCAATGAGTTGGAAGATCGTGAACAGGAATGCCGCTTCTTTTTATTTTTGTTAAAAAGAAAAAAAAAGTATGCACATATCTATTTAAGCAGTTTATTCATTTTGAAAATGAAATACATTAGAAGAGTGTGAAGTTAATGAAATAATAATTACATTTTAAGGTACATAAGCATATAATTCTAAGTATTCAAACAAATTTTGAATTGACAAACTGTTCAAATGATTCACCAGTTTTAAAATAGAAATAGTCGTTTGATAGAAAGTTAGTGCCAAATTTTTCCAATATAGAATATCTTTGGAATATCTATTATGATGAATGATAGAAATGATTTCGGTTTTTTATGATAGGTTAGAAAACGAAGTTTGTTTCTATCATTTGCTGAATGCTGAGTAGAAACTACTTTCCATTTATCACGTTCTATTCAGTCATGATAATGTAAAAGCAAAGTTGAATCCACATATAGGACAACAATTTTTTCCAGTTTAGAGTAGAGTAGTATAGAAATCATCGTCACAAGGTCTTACGGTTGATTGTTTGATCAAGTTAACAAGTTGACTTTATATTGTTCAGCAAAAAAAATGCCCTTTTCTAAATCAATTGTCAGAGAGTATAACCGAGATAATCAACCTTTTGGCGACGTCAAGTCGTTCAAATGGCATACAGTTTATGTTAACTGGTGATGAGTGTTGATAGAAAATAATATCACATTCTATCAGAAATTAGCTGATGTAGAAATAAGCTAATAATAGTATCGACATATGGTTCTCCTCAAAAATAGTCATTCATATTCAAATACAATTATGTAAAGATTGAAACGACAGTTTTCATTCCGTCTGCTAACATATTTCAGCCGTTGCTTAGATTATGACTGGTATGAAATTAGGACTATAGCTGCACATCTGAAAATTATTCAACAAATAATTGTAGTTTTTATACAGTTATAGTGCTATACGATGCCACGATCTGTTGTAAATTCGATTGACGTGATGAAAGCATCTTGTTATAAAAGAAACTTTAAAAATAGATCTTTCATCAAAGCAATTACATGATCGCCAGAATTTGCAAAAAAATATGTCCAAAATGTTAAAGTTGGGTTTTGTCCAATAGCAGTAACTTTCATATTTTCTTCTTGTTTCAATTGATGTTCGTGATTGAAAGTGAGCGAAATCCTGGATGTTCTTGAAAAATCTGGACTGATTTTTAAACAGTCACTTCAGGTGAGCAAAAATTTCAAGTACTCTATGATATTCTTAACATATTTACTTGAGACGTGATTGCAAAGGGATCGTCTGCTTAGAAGACACACAATGCATTGAAACAGAGGATTATAAATGATCTTTATCGGATAACTGTGATTCCAAGGTGCAAAACAGAACAGTTTCTTCGTACATCAATAACACGCGTTATTCTTCATCTGTTTTGCTTTTTAATGAGTTCATGTGCGCTTAACGCACTAGTATCACACAAAAAAAATAATCATTGTTATATTTAGTTTGTCGTAGTCGAACATCAGCAGATAACGTCTTGTATTCATTCATCCGAAATATAGTGGCCATTGTAATTTCGTTCTTGCTCATCATGCTTGACACTCAATTTCTCGATGATCCATGGGATAAATTCAAGAAGAAAAGCAAACCCCAACGAGGCACGTCGGCTTATAGGAAAGTTAAGGTCAACATATTGCTGATCAAAGGTCAAATAATCTGTGCTGTTATGTTGGTTGCAACGGCATGTGTCTTTATTATTTTCTATTTAATTACCTTCATTCGAGCACGACGTGAAAATAGGCAAACATCAGTTCACACAGCTTCTCTGTCAAAACAGTCATCAGCTTCGTGGACGACTAACACAGCTTCATCACCGTATG